TTGGACAGTGTCATCGAAGCTACCAACATGAATTAGATCCAACTCCGGGAGGCAGTGGAAGACAGGAGGGCCTGGCGTGCTCTGGTCCATGGGGTCAGAAGGAGTTGAACTCGACTTAATGATTAAATAACAACAACAACAACAACAACTTCTTTGGCTGTTTATTTCACTCAGCCAAAATTGTCTTTCCGCCCACAGCGTGTGCAACTGAGAGGCCGTAATATCAATACAGTACGTCTATTGGTGAATGGTTAAAATCTCTTGGGCATTAGACACTCTAGACTTATGACACATGCCACAAGAGAACTGTTACTAGGAATTTCTCTTCTTAATTAGACAGAGTTAGTGACTTTATCAAATGTCTCTGTCTTTTATTAATAGGTCTATTCTTCCTTCCAGAAATATATGGGAGATTTCTTCAAATGCCTCAACATTTCTATTGTACTATTTCGAACCAAAGTGTATCATAAAATACACATATCAAGCAACATTTGCTCTACCACCAGTAGCATGATTTTCTCTGCCATCACTGCAAGTGTGAGTTGTATTCTCAGATCTTGAGATGCAATTATTTGATTGGTCAGGAGGACCCACAAGAGGACTGCATTTTTAATTAAAATAGGGTGGGTGGAAACGTTTAGACTACAACTCCTGGAATTCTCCAACCAGCATGACCAATGCTACCTGGGTGGTTTTCTGAGTCATAGCTCAAAAACCCCACATTTGCCATTTGCCTGTAATGGAAATATGCAATCCATACTGCCCAAAAGATACATTGCCATGAAAACCTTTTCCTCTTTTTATCTTGTTGCAACTGCTTCATAAATTAATATTAAGACACAAAAAATAAGGTGGGGAGACTTAAAGATGCTTTTTAATCATGCATAAGGGGAACTAATTTTTTATAGCAACATTTCAAATAAATCCAGGCACAAATCTAATGCTTTTATATCCATGTATAAGGCTATCTAATCTCAAGCACCCTTCATCTGGTGTCCTGCATTAAAGCTATAGAGAGAAGTAGATAGGGATGTATTCTTATATCCATGTAGAAAAATTTGCTTTTTAGCTCTTTTCAGCATATCTTTTTGGCTACACCTAACAGAACATTTATTCTCCTCAAAGTGCTTGTGTTCTTCCAAGTTAAGCTGCATTTTCCATAATATAACAAAATCAATTTCCTTACATTTTCCCAGCTTCTATATTTTTATGTTGCTTTTTGATCACAATAAAAGTTTTACTTTATAGCTTCATATTAGCTGAGCTAGGATGTTAAGGCACACAAGTAATGCAAATAGTCTCTTTCCTGAATCAAGAAACCTCAACAGTACACTAGATTCTTAAAATTGAAATTGTAGTTTGTTGTATATGATTGGAAACCTGCTCTATAAAACTATCTGTGGGAGTCCACTGGGAGGGGGAGATACTTGGCCCCTGCTTATATTCTAAATTTATTGCTATTTTAATGTATCTAAATAGACACCCTGGTAAGAATCCTACAGAGGGAACACAGAGCTAAAGGACCCAAGCACCCCCCTAGCACTCTGCCCTTTACATCCTTGTCTTGCACTGGTTGTGAGAATGAGCATATGACTGGTTGTGAGATTGGTCAAACAACAGGTGGGGTTGCTAGAGTGGAAAAATGCACTATGACTGCCTTTACGCACATGATTTTTCTGAACAGAATCTAGCCACTGGCCAGAATCCAACTGGTGTGAGTCCATTGGTGTAAATTTCAGTGGCAAATTGCTGCTATTTGAGAAGTGAGTGCAGCCACTTGTTTTTGCATGCCAAGTTACATGACTGGGGTGTGACACCAAATGCCTATGGTGATTTCTTAATTAGTGGCAGTTTCTTGCTAAGATTTACACCAAAGGACCTATACCTGTGGGCATAAGTAATAGGATTTGGGCCAATGCACTTTACAGAGGGAAAGCATGCTACTATGCAGTTTTGTCCCAATCCCAAAGCAGGTATAGTGGTACCTCGCAAGACGATGACCCCGCTAAACGACGAATTCTCATAACGACTTTTTGCGATTGCTATAGCAATTCACAAAACAGTCATTCCAATGGGGGATTTTCGCTGGACATTGATTAGGTCCGTACTTCGTGAACTGTTTGTTCACAAGACAATTACTTTTTCCGCTGATCGTCGGCTTCACAAAATGGCTGCCCTGTGTTTTCCAGACCCATGCTTCGCAGGGCACCCATTTTTACAGCTCGCAAAATGGCTTCCCTATGGGCTATCTTCACTGGACGACAAGGTATTTTCCCAGTTGAAACGCATTAAACCGGGTTTCAATGCATTCCAAAGGGGGAAAGGTTTTCGCATGAGGACGATTTCGCTAAACAGCGATTTCAATGGGACAGATTATCGTCGTCATGCGGGGCACCACTGTAGTTTTGAAGCGTCTGTATCATGCCAGCTGACTGAAGGAGAACTTTAATACAGAAGTCCTTAAAAAGTCTAAGTCTCGTCAGGAGGACTTGTACAGGAGAGCCATAGCCTTAAATTCCTGGGAGAAAAGATAAATAAAGAAAGAAAACAATCTTGTCATTTAATAGCACACTCTTTGCACATATCACTGTTGGCATGCATGGCAATGCCACTGCTTGAAATGCTACATCAGTCAATGGTTCCAGTAAGTTACTATCTGAAATATGTGAAACACCTACTTTCAGAGTTCAGAACTTTGTAAATTTTAACAAGCAGTAGTTCAGTGAAATCATAAGAAGCTTATGTAGGTGGTGGAGGTACACAGGAAAGGATTAAAATGAAGTGAAGGCATGGTCAAGGAAAGAACATTTTCTAATCATAATGTAGAGACAGTGATAAGGAAGTCTGGAAACTGAATATCTTCTAAATAATAAAAGCAGCGTTAAGAAAGGGCCGTTCTTTTTTTTTACACTGAAGTGTAGGTCATATTATACGTAACAATTCTTTGATAACATTGCTCTGTATATCTAAATCTACTCTAAATCTCTTTGAAGTCAAACTATGCTTTACTCCTGAGGTCCAGAAGCCATGACTTTTAATACCTAAGTGTATAAAACTAGACTCCACAACTCTATTTGGGATTTTAAAAACACAACAAAACCCCCAATGACCTACTTTTTTTTCCTTTTTGTGAGGAACTAATTTTTTTCCTTTCCCAGTGGTGCTTCTTTCACTTTACAATAAAGTTACTGTGCACCGTTAGTCTGGACCAGTAGAAACTAGGCCATCCGGTGGGGCATAAGACCAAGTTCCGTAAGAGAAGAGAAAGCAGTGCAGAAAAAAACAGGGCAAGGGGAAAAAAACAGGCTACAGGCTGCATTGGATTCATGTATCCATATAGCTCATTAGTTGATCTTAGACAGAAATTGAAAAAAATATTTTTCCCCCACCAAGATCATTAAGAAATGTGCATATTTTAGTAACAAAACCAAACAAATTAACATTATTAGGCACCAGCACTGGTTCGATTAAAACAGTTATGCCGTGTAGCTGTTAAAGATGAGGAAATTCTGAAAAAAGAGGTGGCGAACCTAACTGAGGGCTCAGTTCCACCGACAGTAAAACCCACGGTTGTACCAGGTTTTCATTAAAAAAAAAAACAATTTAAATTTTAGCATACACATGAGGTATGTGCACATGTAGAGCACTGTGCCTGGGAAGTGAGTTTTTCTGCTTTCCTGCCAGAAGTTTGTTTATTTGGGGGCTGATGTATAATTGATTCATTGGAATCGATTCCACGTATATGAACACTGCATCCAATTTTTTAAAAAACCCTGCTACCAGAAAGCAGGGATTAAAAGGGGAAAAAAGCAGCAGGCATGCTGGAAAAGCCAGTGCCCACTCCCTTGCTTGTCCACCACTCGGGCACTTGTCCCCATGCCCTCCCACCCTCTTGTCCTCCTCACCTCCCTTTTCATTCTCCCTGCCCACCCCATACCCTCACTCACCCACTCCTCCTGTACCTTCCCACCCTCATCCCTTCCCCTCTCCTCTCCCCCCCCATTCCCTTCCATTCTCATCACTGCTGCCCCCATCCTGGCTTAGCAGATGAACTTGATTGGAGGTGGAGACAGTGGCAGCTGTGGCAGTCGTGGTGAGGACATGCACACCATCACAAACATATTAGATACAAGCAAAAGTCCACTTGACTTTAGCCTAAATCCAAAAACCCCAGTCCCCCTCTGTCGATTTATTCTGAAAGTGAAAACAGGCCCTGAACTCCCCTGGAGTTGAACATATAAGGATTAAAAGACAGATTTTTGAGGGCCAAGCATTGAAAATTATCTGCCTAGTTAGGTAAATATGTGCACTTTGTTTCTACAGTATCACAATTTTTTTTAAAAAATGAGTCCTTTCTATTGAATTTATATAAAGCTGTTGAATTTGAACATGTTAACAAAAAATAAACCAAACTTTTTTCACCCATTCTTAATCTTGGCCACATAGTCAACATGTGGCTCATGCCCAACCAGCTTATACCCACCCTAGTCATCAATTCGATTAAAACACAGAGAATCATGACAAGAAAGCATTATTCTAATTCTCCTTTAAACCAACCCCTTGCACACTTCGTTTGGCTTAAGAAAAGAAATAAGAAAAACAAAGGACACAGGGAGAAACAAATGTAAGTTTTCTGATAGTTCAAAGGGATATCTACCCACTTCCTGTTCCCACATAGCAGGATTTCAGCCAATTTGTAAATTCCCTTTACTCCTGAGCTGATTGGCCATCTTGCTTCAATCCAGACCTCATAAAAATCACTTAAAATCATATTGATTTGGTAAAACCAGTTTCAGCTTTTCCTTAAGTAAAGCTCTCCATTCACCAATATGATTAAAATGGCTACTATACAGCAATTAATCTGGATGTAGCAGTTTCTTTCACCAAACATATTTTATTCTCAGCTTAGATAGACATTTTTTTTAAAAAAATCATCATGTTCTTACTTTACACTCACATTTTGTTTTGTTACCATTGCAAAATCAATGAAAGGTACATACTGGGTTAAGAAGGATGGTAAGAAACAGTTCACCTCCTTGGATACTTTTGTCTAATTCTTGAGGCCCTCCAGGATATTCTTTGTAAAAAATTGTATGGGTGAAAAGTCCGCATGTCTGCCGAGGGAGGACCTGAGAAAGAGAAAACAGATCTATAGGGATTGATGTGTGTATGTGTTCTTTTAGTTCCAAGATGCCCCGAGAGCTGAATCTCTTCTGCTTTTAGTCACTGATTTTTTTTTCCTTCCATAAGAAATTTTAGACCGAAACTTGTCTAGCACCATACCAGTAAGTACACCTTGGTACAGTATAGATATTTTTGTATAAAATATGAAAATGTTATGGTTGTAGAAGGGGTAGCTGTGTTAATCTGTGCAAGGATTACAGGAGAAAACAAAATAAAAATAAAAAATAAAAAAGACATAAACAGCTAAGGCAAATCGAGTGCTACTATGTTTTTGTCTTTTTTAAAAACTCTTTTTAATTGTATTTTCACTGAAAATGTTACGATGTCATTTCTAAGGTCGCAACAGCTATTTGTTCACTTGCTTAGAAAATTTGATTAAGTTTGCTCAGCTGAAAAGATGCCCATCGATTAATAAGTTAATGGACTATTCTTAAAAAACACATGAATTTCTTTTCCCCAGTATAAACCAAATATACAAAATGAGGGTGGTAAGTGCCATCCTAGTGTCTGCCACAAATGGAAAAAAAAAAATACCCTCACATGATCACTCATGTGAAGAGAATACTGCTTACATTGACAGCCTTTGAGCCTCTTCTTTGATTCAAAACTTTCATCCAATGAAATATGCCAAGAAGTATTAGTGTAGGCAAGCAAGGGCAAATGTGTGGCCCTCCAGATGTAGCCAGACTGCAGCTCCTAAACTTATTCTCTGCCAATTATGTTGGCTAGGACTAATGGGAACTGACGTGAGCAACATCAAGAGAGAAACGCAGTCCCCACTTCTGGTGTGGGTCTTTGTGGCCCCAAATTTTTCCCTCTCAAAAAAATCAACCAGACACTCAAGACAAACGTTCAAAATTATGAAATTAATCTGGGAGGCAGAGAAATAACAGGCCACAAAATCGACACTGTATACTAACTTTTTCTACTGATACAATATTGATTGCCCTCTTGCAAATGTTTCTGATTCCCATCTGCCAAGTTTCCTTGACATTTCCTTTACAAAAAAATTGTTTATCTCTGCCTTTTGGGCCCATCTGTTCCTTCTTGCTGTCTTGGTTGTTACAGCTGCCAACCAGCCAGAGCTTTTCATAGCAGTAATAGGCCAAGTTAATCCTACATAGATATGACCCTGGACCAAGAGCTTTGACCTCATGCCATGACATTCAGTGGAAAAATATAAACAGCTGTACTCTATATTGGCTAGGAATAGTCCCTTCTTCTTCTTCTTCTTCTTCTTCTTCTTCTTCTTCTTCTTCTTCTTCTTCTTCTTCTTCTTCTTCTTCTTCTTTGTCTACTATGGTGACTGCAGTTTTTAGTACATCACAACATAACTGCAGGAGAAATAAGTAAGCCACTCTGAGATAGTTGAGAACATGGATAAAGCATATTGCAACCCAAAGCAGAGCTTCAACCAGCAGAACTGGTTTAAGCTATATGTACTTCTCATCTGGATGCTTATGATTGGAATGCTCACTTACTCTGTAAATCATGTTCTAATTGTACTTAAGATATTATGAAAAAGTAATCAGGAATTTTGTCCATCACCAGACATCTGTAAAATGATTCCGTTAACCCAATTGAAACTGTTTGCACCTATTAATTAAACAAGCTCACCAGCTGGATATTTTCTGCAGCTGCCTCTCTAGCTTCCAATAAATACATGTACAGAGACCAGGCCACCAACTGGGGCAGCTGATTGTCACCAAACATTCTGTCTAAGACAGACAAATTAAATTTGCTATGTCAGTGATGTTTGTTTTTTAAAAGGCTGCTTTTAGAACTCCAAGCAATGTGGGAAATAGCAATGCTTTCAGTATTTATTTGTTTGTTTATTTATTTAGCAGTAACACAAGTATGATGTAATGGAAATGCAATGTACCATGATGCCATTGTGGATGAAGCCCCGCCTGTACCGTGCTGGTTTCAGATGAGGATATTCTTCGGTACTGGTGACTTTAATACCCCAGACTTTCTTCCAGGCTTCATAAAGCTGTATATGAACAGGGTAGACACCAGAATGGTGCGGAGCTACAGCATAGCCCATTTCAGTTGGAATGCCATGTTCCTGAGATAAAGCACAAGAGAGAAAGAGAGAGATCGAAACAAACAAACGGACAAACAAAAGATTACAAGATAGAGAATGATGATAAATATCATCAAATTTAGAATGAACAAGTCTTTGGAACGTTTATCTCTGGTCGATAGCATGCAGGAATGGGACTGAACATCAACTGAATAGTAGGGATTTGTCCCATTTTCAAAGTTCCTTTAGTTTGGAATATAATCACACTTAATCTCATCTGATTTTAAAAGCTAACCAGCTTCTAGCCTGATTCATACATGGATAGCAGATCATCAGGGATTAACAAGGACCACCATGTAGGGGCAGCAAAGAATTCTGCCTGAAAAGGAGAGAGTTACTGCCAGTTGTTCATACTGGTCCAATAGTTTGGTTCATGGAGTTGATCCAGTGTGATGCAACTTCCTGTGTTCTTACCTATTTTGCTTCATTTTTGGAAAATGCATGTGGCTTGTGATATGTTCCATAATAAAAAGTGAGTCGCATGGTAGTGAGTGGAAGCACAGGTATAAATGCCATCTAATCCAACACTATATTGCGGGCTATGTCCAGAGCTGTTGCAGTCATCAGATGCTTCAGTGTGTGCCTCCAGCTGCCTGTCCTAAAGTGTGTTGTATACCAGTTTTCAGGTACGCTAACACAATGACACCATTTTGCTTGCCTTCCCTGGATTTTACAACGTATTTCAGATCCAATAATATTTACTTCTTTGCTTCTACCTAGGATATCATGTGATATTTGGCAACGTATCATTAAATTTATGGCAAAGTCACCACAAACCTCATCTATGCCTTCTTCCTTTAATTTTTGGTCCAAATCCCTGAGGTTTAAAACAAATTACATGTAAGATTTTTGTTTTTCCCCTTTAAAGATTGGCATGATGTACAGTATAATCAATTTTTGCACAATGCACAATAATTGTTTTTTTCTCTCTCTCCAACTCCTTAATTTGATATTTAGTTTGGGATCCTGCTCTCAGCTTATTTCACTGTTCACTCATTTCTACCTGTTAATATTAATTATAAAGTTCCATGCTTTTGAACTCCTAAGCAGAGCCTTAGGGAATGCATCTGCCATTATTAGCAGTGCAGAGAAACCTGAGCTTACAGTGTGAGAGTATTGGTACCTTTCAGATAACGGGGATGAAATAATCATTTAGCAATCATTTAACAACCACAGGATTTCCTTTTACCTTTATATTTAGCTATAATACTCTTAGAAGATGTGAGGAGGAGATGGATTTTACAGCAATTTGTTTCTGAGAAATACCCTGCTTTTAATGCAAAGTATTTAGGAGTAGTTTTGCCTTCAATGGGTGATTAAAACTCATTAGCTGTACAAAAGACCTGTTTCCAAGGAAGAGGAAGATGGTTAGCATTTGTCTGTTGATAGGGATCGATACAGCTGTCAATATTTTCCTTGGGTTCATGGCTATGGAGAGCAACATCATGATTGCCTATATGTCAAAACTTGACACTAAACAACCAACATTTGGTTTGCTGGTCTATCTGGCAATGCAACATTGTCACATTTACTGCAACATAAATAAGGCAACATGCTTATTGGTGTGACTACAGCATGTAAGGTAAGGGTTCCCCTTGACAATTTTTGTCCAGTTGTGTTCAACTCTAGGGGAGGTGCTCTTCCCCGTTTCCAAGCCATAGAGCCAGCATTTGTTCGAAGACAATCTTCCGTGGTCACATGGCCAGGGTGACCTAGACACGGAACACTGTTACCTTCTCACTGAGGTGGTCCCTATTTATCTACTCACATTTGCATGCTTTCGAATTGCTAGGTTGGCGGGAGCTGGGACAAGCAACAGGTGCTCCGTCACGTGGATTCGATCTTATGACTGCTGGTCTTCTGACCCTGCAACACACAAAGGCTTCTGTGGTTTAACCCACAGCGCCATCACATCCCTTTGACTACAGCATGAGGGAAGTGCAAATTCACTCACATTCACTTGCTATGAAGTCACACCATCTCTAGCTGTCTGGCCACTTAAAGCAAACAGAAATTGGGTCTCTTTGCTTTAAGTGGTCACACAGCCAGAGATTGGCATGAACTTCCATGCCTTGATAAAAATCTCAAACCTCAGTTGGCCTTGAAATCACTTTTGGCATTGAAAAAATGATGTACTGTGTCAAAGGAAAACCCATAGGGCTATGTTCTGTTAGCATTTCATTGTGTGGCAATCCAAGCAAACATACTAGAATGTTGTTTCTCCATTTGAAATATCAATACATGCCAGAAGTATGCTGACAATGGCTAACCAGGAAAGATGTTAATTATAAGAACCTTGGGTAGGGGAATTGAAATGGAAATGGGAATGTTCACAAGAGTCTGCATCAAGATTTTGTAGGAAAATACTGTCAGCAGGTGACTCGACAAAGAAAACATCTCTAGTTGTACATTAGGATTGATGTCAGCAGGATAAAATCAGACAGTGGAAAGAATGCAGCATATTATTGAAAGGAAATTTAATATCCTCCTCTCATACCTGCTGGACATGATACTCAATATGTAATAAACTGGAGGGCTGCTTTGTCAAAAGGAAATCCTTGTGTTCCATATTGAAAATGTAAATGTAAAAAAGAACATTTATTTGCTACATCCCACCCCCAAGCAATAGCAGAGTTTCAAAGACAGATACAGTATTCTAGCCTCAGTTGAATTTCCTCATGGCACCTGCCGCTGCTTCTGTTATAAAGCAACATTATACACCCCTCATCTTCACAAGTGCTAAAAAGTGCAATATTTACCCCTGAAATGTGAATGATAAATTCTTAACACTTTTGGATTTAACTTTGGTAGCTATGGACAATGTAAAAAGATCCCCTGTCATATGTTTACATCTTGCAAAAATGAAATAGTGCAGTTTTCTTTAGCTAGTGGCACACTGATGCTCCACATTTTAGTATATTTATTTGAATTCATAAGGGAGCACATTCAAATTCTACTTTGTACCATGCATTAAGATTTTACATTCAGGAATACATAACCCTGATTTAGGACAATGGAGTAATTTTTATGGAGCATATTAGTGGAGATAGGAAAATATGAATCTTTTTGTGCCACTACTCCAAAATCACCTCAAAGCCAGTATGCCCGCTGACTACACTGATTATAGGATCCTGAGATCTGTTGTGGGGAATGAAAAAGAATCTTGATAATCTTCAAGTAATATCTCAAACAACTTGAGATTCATTGTGTGAGGTGGAGGAACAATGCATGTATCTCTGAGAACATCCCATTATGGAAGGAGAAACAGTTTAATCGTGAGGAATACATTTGCCCCATGATCCATCAATGATCCTTTCCATGATGAAAGTTGCATTTTGAAGGTGGTGCCTGGATTTGGATATTCTGGAGAAGTGCCTCCAAATATGGCTAATTGAAGTAAATGCCTATTTCAACCACAGCTTAGAATCAGACACAACCAGTGGTTGACGAATTCTAGCAATTAGTCAGAAAACGTAAAACTTCCGAGCTCTAGGTTTGCTACAGCAAATTTTAACTTTCTAAGAGTTTGAAATAAATAAAAGAGTTTTGTCCTCCTGTTGGCATAACAAAGCTATATGAAGAAGTGAGCTCTGCTGAATTGTTTTCAGTTTTGTCACAAAGAGAGTGGTGATAAGTCGGCTCTCAGCACTTTCTAAGCTGCCACCTTGCTGAATTAAAAGATTTACGTAAGCTCTTATCTACTTTTAGTGCTAGGACATTTTTGTTCCCTAGGATTATTGTTCAGGTACGTTGAGACTTCCTGTTAGAGAATTTTATTTTGTTTTATTATTGTTTTGTACTACGTCAGCTTAATGCTTTATTTTATTTTATTTTTGTACATTTCTTTTCCTTTCTGTAGATGGAGTGTAGTTGATGTCTCACTTTGGTGAATGTACCAGCCATCCTTCCAGCTGTCAATTTTTCGTATTTTAAAGGATTACATTTTCATCCTGCCGTGTTCAATTCAAGCCTACAGCTTTTCTGCATAAATTGTTAATGATTGCGCGAGAGGCTCTGACTTGTGAAAATTCTGGGCACAATCCAGTTTCAACTGAAGCCAATGGAGGAGAAACTCCAATTGATTTTCATGGCGCTGCCTTGCTTTATGCATGACTATAAGAAAGACGTTAGGGTGCCCAACAACCATGGAAGCAAAATCAAAGCATGTGGCGAGGCTCTTATAATCTATTTCTACGGTGACAGATGAGGTTTGAGCTGGGGAAAGGGAGGGCAACGGAGTTTCTATAGAAGTGAGCTTACAAGATGAAAAGCAAGAGTCAAAGGGTAGCTCTTGGAGATACACCCAAGTTTAAATTTCAAAGAGACTGCAGCACTTTTTAAGAGCACCTGTTGTTATTACCGCTTTATATCTCAAAATATGTCAAAAGGGAAAACCTGGGAGGACAATTGCCTTTAATAGCGCTAACTGCAGTATACCAGCCCAGGCATTTGGAAGACGCCACCAACAGTCTAGCTGTGTGTGTTTAATTCCTGTTGCGTATTTTAAGGGTGTGATGTATTTGTTTTCACCCCACAGGTTTTTGTACCTGGCAAAAGACAGCTTTGTATTTTATTATGAAATGGGAATGAACGAAATTATGAGGATAGTAAACTTGCAAACAATCTGTTGGAGAACACTCTAGATGTCCTAAACACTGGCTATTTAGAGGGAGCTTATGTGGGAATATCTTTACCTACAGATCAGAAGACATGCACACTTTTTCCAAGAGTTTCTATTTTTATGCAACATGTGAAGTGAAAAGTATGCCTCCTTCCACCGTTGCTTTTTATAAAATGTGAAGAACAACATCTGCAGAAGAAGGGGTCAGGGTTCTAGCTGGATGGATTTCCTCTATGCATAGATCTCTCCTCTTCATGTTCATTGTGTTTTAGGTGATGAAAGCAATAGTAGAGGTCATAGGATTAGTATGCTGTCCTCCTCATATGCTGAATAAACACAGTTAGAAATATCTCAGTTTGAC